ATCTCATTAAAGGCTTCTCATTGTCCAAGGGCTAAGGCATTGCCCACTTCCTCCCCAGGCAATGACTAAGAGCTGGGGGCAAAGCCAACAGCAAAAAGAAATTGCCAGGATGGGGTACATAAGGCTTTTGTTTGTTTGTTTGTTTGTTTGTTTGTTTGTTTGTTTGTTTTTAGAAACAGGGTTTCTCTGTGTAGCCCTGGCTGTCCTGGAACTCACTCTGCAGACCAGGCTAGCCTTGAACTCACAGAGATCCTCCTGCCTCTGCCTCCCAAGTGCTGGGATTAAGTGTGCCACACTCCTAGGTGACTGTAAGGTTTTTTAGTTTCCTATAGACCAATAAGGAAGAAGCACTCTGTCTCTAATCTATGCTTTTCTTTGTAATTACATTACTGTGATCCAATTACATTGCACATTTTCTAAATTTAGGATTTGTTTAGGAACAAGTGTTAAAATTAGTACCCACAGAAATGTTATGATTTAGGAATTTTATTTTATTAGTGATATGAAGAAGTTCCTTACTGGTCATTTTGCTTCCTGATATACTCGCACCAGGAACTAGCTATGATCAGACCCAAGGCTTCCCAACTCCAGATGAGCCCAGGGATCTGGAGGGCCCAGAAGCAATGTCTACTTGTGTCTGTGGTCTACAAGAATTGACTTGTTCTTGGAAATGTTCTGTTGCTGGTGTTTGTTTTTCTTTTTCGGTGCTGGGCACAGAACCTGCGCCTGAGCTCATACTAGGCCAGCATGCTACCACTGAGCTGCACCACCAGCTCTGGATGCTTTGAGGCTGGACCTCATTGTGAACAGGATGGACTGATACTTTCTGCCACAGCATCCAGAGCCTTGGGATTACACCCGCATTCCACATGCCTGGATCACAATTGTTAATTATTTATTAACTGAAAAGAGGGTCTGGAGAGATGGCTCAGCAGCTAAGAGACTTTCTGTTCTCGAAGAAGACACAGCTTCCCTGAATCCACATCTGTTTAGCTCACAGCTGCCTGTAACTGCAGATCCAGGAGATACGTCACCCTGTTCTGATCTCCTCAGGCACCAGCATACATGTGGTACATGTACATACATGCAAGCACATACATATACACAAAATAAAAACAAACCCTTTTTTTGAGAAGAAAAAGAGTGACCCAACTCCAGATTAAAATGAGCCCTGACCATGCCACTGTGAAATGAGATAAAATGAACACAAGATACAAGAAAATCATTATTCTTATTTAATCTTAGCCTGATTTACCCACAGTGGGCTATTTGTTTGTTTGTTTGGTTGGTTGGTTGGTTTTGGCTTTTTGAGAAAAAGTTTCTTTATGTAGCCTTAGCTGCTCTGAAACTTACTCTGCAGACCAAGCTGACCTGGAACTCGGAGATCTGCCTGCTCTGCTTCCCAAGTGCTGGGATCAAAGGCATGTGCCACCACTGCCTGGCCAGCCCACAGTTTTTGTTTTCATTTCAGTTTTATTCTGTATGTGCAGCAATTGAATTTAGATTCATGGTTGCTTTCCCCGTTTGTCTAGCTGCAAGGGATCCAAACCGAAAAACCGGGATGAAGATACCCTGATGACAGAGTGTCAAGAATAAGTTGGTATGATTTCAGGTTTTGTTTTTTTAATGTTAATGTTCAAGTTTCCCTGAGTTCCTCCCACAAGGTCCACTGAAATAATACATCTTTTCTTCCAGCAGAAAATATGAAGGACCTTTTCATTCAACCCCTTGCTTTTTATCCACTTCCTTCAAGCCCTCATTATGTGTGAGGCACAATGCTAAGTGCGTGCTGTGTGTCTTTCATTTCGTTCTAGAAATAATTACATCAAGTGGGTAAGATGATTGTTTCCATGCTGCACATAAAGGCTCTGACTCACAGAGGGCTTAGACAGACTCCAAGGAGCCCTAATGAGTCTCAGACTCACGATAGGCTGACAGCAAGCTCACACTTTCAACCAATAATGCCAAGTGCCTCTCCTTTTCTTCACCAAGACAATGAAGACTGAACGGCCCTCAGTCCTCTTCTGAGATAAGCAAACAATGGTGGCAAGGGTTTTAAACAATTCTCTGGGTTGTGTACAGTGTCACACAAGTGGCTCTTGTGATAATTCTTTATGCTAGTCTATATCCTAGTCTAGTCTAGAATACACCAGTGTATGTACCAGAACTACAAGCCAGTGTTTATCTTGCGTCACAGTAGGGTCAGCATCGTCCTAACTCATGTGAATGTACGAAGGTTGATAGATGATGCCCTCACATGTTCTTGGAGCACAAAGTAGAAGTTTTATTGAAAACAGTGCCAGTTTGGTTTGTTTACAGGTCAAATGATTTTGTCAGACTTTGGGGACAAATAGTTCCTACACTTGCAAATTGACTCTTTTGTCATGTCGCTCCTACTGTGGTTTTTAAGAACAATCTGAAAGAAAAATGGTGTCTGATAGAATGCAGACTGGTTTAGCAGTTTGGTCTTCTGAACACCGCCAGTGGAGATCGCACACACTTCCAGATCTTAGAAAAATCTCAAATGAGAATGTTCTTGCCTGGTGGAAATACTACACGCAGAGACACAGACTGGGCTGTGACTTTCCATATACCAAAGAGCATCCTGAATGTCCCTGTAGCAGAGGATCCAAAGATTTTTTATTTTCTATAGTATACATATGATTTTACCGTTTATTAAAGACAAAAGAAACTTTGCATACTAATGAGACGGATGTGCTTGTCTCTTTATACAGTGAGTTAAGCTGGCTGAATATTTGAGACTCGGAGATGTAGAACATCTTCAGTCTTTTTCAGCGTTGATCCACGTGTTGATTTTATGATCATTTGCTGGGAACACATCTTCCCATGAACACAGAACACCAAGTGGTAGAAGTATATTTAAGGACATCTCAGAAATTGTTGGAAATTCTGTCCTAACCTTTAACCAAAGTTCATTTAACAGACCTTAAGTGAAATTTAAGTCAGCCATGCAAGGCACAGTTGCTGAAATTAAGTCCTCTAACACATCTCTAATCCACAGTCATGCTAATCTGACGCTAAGGAATGACAACAGAGAAATCTGAAAGTCTTTGTTTTCAGTAATTGAACTATCAGTGTTTGGGAAGACCAGAAAACCTTGTGTACGGTAAAAAAAAAAAAAAAAAAACAACAACAAAAAAAACAAAAAACAAAAAACAAAAAACAAACAAACAAACAAACAAACAAAAAAACGCTGCAATTCTTAATGTAAGACTCTGAGCAGAGGCATTTCAGGCAATACTGGTCGGGGTTGCATGTGGTGATGGTGTGCACTGTGCAGCGTGCACATGTGCGTAAAGAACTGAGGCTGCTGTGAAGCGGCACACACCAGAGGCCCAGGCCACCAGCGAGACCTCGGCTTTCTTCGGCATTTGATTTTGAAGCATCTTCCCGCTGTTGCATAAGCAGAAACTTCCACTGCTGTCCGGGGTTTCGCAGCCCTCCCTAGCACAGGACTGCAACCCACGGTTTAAGATGCTGTGGGTCATAGGAATTAGCATCCTTGTGAGACTTTACATTTGAGATAAAGCAGCACTCCCAGAGGTGGAGGGTATTGCAAGAACAGACCAAGATACACATCGCGGGCTTTTTTCCGCTCTTGCACCAGCTCACATTAGCTCAACTGAACCTGTGGGTAGACCCTCAGATTTGGAAACTTTTAAAAATTTTGATTCTAGATTAGAGCTGAGTAGAAAGTGTGTGTGTGTGTGTGTGTGTGTGTGTGTGTGTGTGTGTGGTGTGTGTGTGTTCCCTTCCTCTTAGCATTGCTGTACAGCTGAGTACCCTGGCTAAAATAATGAACGCCTGGTAATGTGGGAGGCCGTGGCTTTCCAGGATGCAGGAGCAGCCTGGACATCTCTGGGGTGAGGCAGAAATGAAGGTAGCAAAGCTGCACAGGGCCCTCCCCGGAGCTTTTGCACCCATGCCTTTGCCTGCTGGGCCACTGTCCTGTGGGGGAAAGCAGCGAAACTGAGCCAGGCCCCTGGACTCTTGCGGGGTCTGAATCTGTTTCAACCTTCCGCACAACAGCCCGGAATCCAAACATCTTCATTTACGGAATGGAAATAATCCCACTGTATAAACGGTTCGCTTTGCTTCTGAATGTTTTGCTAAAGATTCACCAAATAACAGATTTTTTTTTTTTTTTAATGTTGGGAATGGGTAAAATATTGTTAGATGCTTCGCTGTGACAGGGTGGGTTTAAAGGAAAAGAGCCCAAGCTCAGTAGTCCACAAACCGGTGGAGCTGTCTCGGAACAGCAGCGAAGATGGACCTCTTACAGGAAAACCGATACAGACCACCTTCCCGGGATCTGACTCTCCCACCCCCTTTCTTCCTGATAATGCAGACAGCTTTGAGCAGCAAAGCCAATTCGATTTGTTAACTGATGGTCCTGCTTCCTAAATGGATTAGGAAAAAAAAAAAAAAAAAAACCACGATAAATACAGAGTGCATTGTGGGTGAAGAACAACTCCGGCCACTGTGGGCAGGACTTACTGGATGGAGGTCACACGGGTCTGCCTGGCGCAGCCGAGTGACCTGTGTGATGCAATCACAGCAGAAGTATGAGTCTTGCACGGGGGTGTGAAAGTGTGTCTGCAGGGCCTTCCTGGGGTGCACTGTGTGATTTCTTGGGCATTACCGCAAACACTCACCCCAGGGCAATGAGAGAAAAGAAGGCCAGGGTTGGGATCAGCTCCTGAAATGGCAGATGAAGTTTGTTATTCCCCTTCCCGAGGGACTTAGAAAACGGTTTTGAGGGAGAACACAGAGTGCATGCCGCATCCCTTGCTGCCTCAAGCCCCCGGGGGAGTTGCAGTGAAAGGGGGGCGCGAGGGTCTGAAGGTGGGTGGAAGGAAGCGGCGTCAGTCAACTTCCTCGGCTGCGGTGGCTGTGGCAGCGGGGTGTGCACCCGGCTATGCAGCCCTCCCCTGGGCCGGGAAGGGGCGGAGCTGGGCGTCGCCGCCCGGGTTGTCCCCTCCTCCTCGGTGCTCTCGGGTGCAGAGCCCTCCGCGGTCGCGGCCGCTCGGAGGGAGCTCTCCCGGATCCCGAGGCGGGAGTGTGGCTGGCGGGGCTGGGCTTGGCTGCCGGAGCTGGACTGCCGGAGCTCGGCCGCGCCTGGTGTTGGTGAGTCCCGTCACGGCGGCTGGGGACAGGGCAGGGTGCAGGTCTCCACTGTGATGCTGGGGAGCCTCTGCTAGAGCTCGGGAGGCGGGGATGTCAGGATGGAGACGTTGGGGGAGCGCCTGACCCGAAGACTCTGCGGAGAAGATGTAGAACCGCATTGACAGGTGCCCCGACCCCAGGGGCCGGGGCTGGGACCCGATGTTGGAGTTTCAATACTGGTTTTTAGAATGCAGGACAGACAGTCCAGACCATGGAGTTGGGAAGCTGCAGACCCCTGAAGGTCTGAGACTTGGGAATCCAAACTGGCTAGTGAGGAGATTCGGGATGGGAGCCTGAGGGAGCTGGGGTTTGGGGTAGATGTCACGATCGTGAATTGTGGGTGTATGAGCCCGGAGAGCAGGAGAGACACAATCCAGAGGAGGGGAGTCTTGTGCGCATTCTTGGGGCGCCCTCCACAGGGCAGAGAGAAACGGAACCCCGGGAGGGGAATGCCTAGTAGAGGAAGAACGGGGAGGAAGGGGGTTCCCGAGGGAGGGGAACCCCGGAAAGAGTAAGGTGAGCGAGGCGTGAGCTCCTCCTTGAGGAGAATGGAGCAGGGTACTCAGAGGAGATGCTACACGGAGCTCAGTAGTGCTGAAAACCGTGGACTGCTGATTTAGGGGCTATGATGAACTGAGGGACCAGAGAACACGAAAGGGCAGAGGTGGCCAGCGGGGCAGTGCTGGGAATGTCGTCTTTTCACGGGAGGTAGTCGCGGACATCTCAAGAGGGTATCCCCTTGACAGCAGATTGGGAAGCCCTAGACAAGACAAATGGGGACCCAGCGCTCAGCGAGCCCAGGAATATTGGGAACCTAATGGAAGGATGACCAGTTAGTTGCCAGGACCTGGAGGCAGCCAAATGTCTCAACTTCCTGAGCAGTTGTAGGTACCCAGTGATAAAAGAGAGACCCCTGGTCCTGGGGAGCACTTTGTCTTGCTTAAGTGACACCTCATATTTCTGACCTGGGTTAGAAATGCTTTGCTTGAGCATGTGATAAGAAGAGACTTGGGCAAAAGGAATAGTCACAGAGTGAGATTTCAAATACATAAGGGTTATCAACCTTGTGTGCTTTGGGCAGAACTCATGTAATGTAGGTGTATGTCATGTAATGTAGGTGTGTGTCATGTAATGTAGGTGTGTGTAGAGTAATAATCCACCAGAGGCAGCTTCTGAGAAAATATGGAGGGCGAGGGGGTGGGCAAGCACATTGCATCCCACAGGCGAACTTCAGTGTTTTACTGTTGTGTAGTCGGTGTTTGTATTGGCACGGGTTTCTTTTCCTGTGGTTAAGAAGTTAACCTTGTGGAAGGCACTATCTACAACTGCCCTGTTGAAGTTATTGGTGGTCTCTTCCTATGCTCTGAACTGCTCCATCCCTGGCATCTCAGAGGATACGTGTCTAAGGCATATCTGAAAACATGACCTAGGCATTGTCTGTTTTCCTTTGTTTATCTTGGGTGTGCAAGTCATTTCATTTAAAGTAATGTTGAGCATCTTGTCGACCTACCTTACATTGCTGATTATTTGTGGTGGGTAGTTTATTTAGGAATAACAACTGATTCATAGCGACCCTGTGATTTGTTTGCCACTGGAAGGCATTTGTGTTTGGGAAAGAATATCTTTCCTTCTAGGTTGTGAGTACAGGGCCATCCTCTGGCACACATTGAGATGCTTGCTCCCTAATAAATCCAAGAGCTGTTTTTGTTTGTTTGTTTGTTTGGTTGGTTGGTTGGTTATTTGTTTTTAACTTTTTTGGGAGGACAAGGACTCATGGAGCCCAGGTTGGCCTCAAATATAGCTAATCCTTCTGTCTCTATTTGCCAACTATTGGAATTACAAATGTGTGCATTACAAGAAATATTTTATTTGCAGTGCTGGAAATTAAGCATGGGGCCTAGCACATGATAAGTAAGTACTCTACCCTAAGCTGAAGCCCCAATCTCTAAGTGCTATTTGGGGAACTAACATTTAGTGGGTCGGATTTGTTTGTTTGTTTTGAGACAGGGTCATCCGTGTATCCCTGGCTGGCCTGGAATTCACTATGTAGATCAGGCTGGCTTTGAACTTACAGAAATCCACCTGCCTCTGCCTCCCTAGTGCTTGGATTAAAGGCAGGCTCCACCACAGCTATCCCAGTCTGGGTTTTTGTTTTGTTGGGGGTGATGGTGTGCTTTTTAATTTTATTTTTGTTTGTTTCAAGTTTCTTTTTTTCCTTCAAGAAAGGGAAATCTTCAATAACTATGCAAACTAACAGGAAAAGCATGCTTTCATTTCAAAACATCATATCAGGACTTGCTTTGTTGCGCAAAGCACATACATAGAGCTTATTGGATGGCCTCACCCTTGCACCCAAAATCCGAAATATCGTTATTGCAGCAGTATATTTATTCACTTCAATATAAAGCCAGCTGATACTCTCAATTCTTTATCCAAGTATTAAAATAAACATGTCTGTATTCGTACATTCAAATGAATATTTCTCCCCTTCAACAGTGTTCCCTTGGCAAGCTGGGTACTAAATCGAGTGATGCTGTCATTTCTGAGAATAGTCCCGGAGCGCCTGCTTTGGAGCATCCTGCAGCGCATTTGCTGATTGCCCCAGCGCCTGCAAACCTGCCGTGGTCGGCAGAGTCAAAGGCAGAATGAGGCCAACCTGGGCTTCTGGAAAACTGGGGCTGTAAAACGAAATACGAAAATAGTGACGATTCGCTCGCAGGCTTAGCAGCTCAAAGGGGGGCTTCCAGAAAGCCTACCACAACACGACTCACGGTTGTGTCAGATGAATGACAGCAGCGGACCACCTGAGATAATCAACTTAGAAGCAAGAAGGAATGCCCCGGGAAAGGTTGAGAGGTTGCTGTCTGCTGGGCCTAGTTCATTTGGGTTTGTTGGAAGGGCAGAGATGCGGGGCTGGGAGTGCACAGCCTAGCCAAGCTCTCAGCTCATGGTGCAGGTAATCAGAGACGGAGAAGAAGACCAGGGCACACTCCATACACACACATTATCCTTTCCTCCACCACTTGCCAATACTACAGTTCAAACCTTCTAGACAGAAGCCACTGGGAGACATTTTAGGTCCAAATCAGCCCGGTGTAGTGGCACAAGCCTTTAATCCCGTCACCAGGGAAGCAGAAGCAGGTGGGGCTCTGTCAGTTTGGGGGCAGCCTGATCGGTATAGCAAGTTCAAGCCAAATACATAGTGAGACCATCTAAAAACAAATTTAAGATATGAATTAATAGAAGTACCACCTTCATTTGGGTGTTTATGCTCTAGTATATATTGGAAAAATAACTTAGAAATATCACTTAATTAGTATACCTTACAATGTATTAGGTCGTGTGAGATTAAATTTCACCTTGATATTCTTTGCTGGGCAGTTTGTATTGCTGCAGATTTTTACAAGCAGCAAAATAAGAGACTAGTT